GCCTGAAATCGACCGAACCGAAAATTTTGGCTCGATTTTTGCCAGAAACAGGTGGAAGGTTAGTTGTGGCTGGCTTTGAGTTCCACGTTGTTTGTAGACAAGAGTGGAAAAATATAATTAGACTTGGGCCAATGAGTCAGGACAAGATCGATATCGAGGTGGCTGAAGCTCTGTTCGATCTGACGAAACAATCATTCTCAGTCGCCCTCATCTGAAAGGGAAGAAAAGGCCGATAGAGACAACACAAATAACAACGATGAAAGTACTTTTGCAATTTATTCTCATCATTTTTTTAACAGAGATAATTAATGTGGATTTTGATGGATCACAGATTTGAAGAGGTTAAAAGCTTGGCATGGTAAAGTTGAGAATGACTCTTTTCAAGTTGAAAACGAGTAAGCCATAAAAAAGTCAAATAAAGAAGCTGAAGAATTGGTTAGTGCAGATGGGTCTGTGGAAAGAGGATAAGTGAGGTCTCCTCAGAGAGAGTTCGCATTGTTTGTTAAAGCATATGCTTGTGATATTCAGTATCTGACAGCGATAAAAGCGTGAGCATCTTCTTTTCTTTGTTTTTTTTTCTCTCATTTTTTCTTTCATTGTTCTCTAAATTCCGTAAATTCTGAATTTGATTATTTGTCACTAATACAACATTATTCATTTTGTTTCATCTCTACATCTATCTTATATAAAGCTTATCATATTTATGGTGATGGGATCATGGATTTATGAGGAGAGTGTGGTCGAGACACAACTGTTTTGAGTATACCTTAAATACATAGATTACAAAGTTAATTATAGATTAAATTGGGCACGCACAACCGTAACCCCACTAGTATAAGAAGATATAAGAGGCCTTCAAATGATGACAAGTGGCTTATTTGTATGAGCGACATATGGCCCATTAGTGAATTACAATTTCTACTATAACAGGCCTTCTAACGACGTCGTATGACCTTTGGCTTTTTCCCGAATTTTGGGGAGTGCTTCTCAGTCTTTTGGTCAAACATACACCAACGATGTTAAAAAATGTCAGCTTTTGCTGATACCCGCACGTCTTCCTCCTCTGAAAAGCCCAAAATTAGGGAACACCACTCCTCCATTTCCCAAACCCCAAATCGTACTATTCCACATTCCACAAGCGATGTCGTTTAAGCGAAATCACTCAACCCTTAAGAAGCGGTATAGTCCCATTTCCCTTCTCAAATCCTCGCCGTTAACTGCCTCCAAGGGATCAGAGTGACTCATCTCTCCCGATGTCGTCGGTCGTGTAGAGCACCTCCTCTCCTTACTTCCGGTGGCGATTTTGGCCCTCTTTGTCCCCCTGTCTCCGGCAGACAATGAAGTCCTTGCCTACCTCATATCATGCTCCTTCGCAAACATGCTCCGTTTTATTTATATTACGTGTAATGTACTTCATTCTACAGCAGGCAAGATTTCGCGAGCCGCCGTCGTTGGTGAGTTTATGAAATAGTATACACCATTCACTTCTTCTTCCTCCTCAAATGTTTTCTTGGTTAATCCTATTAGGGCACATTTGTTTGGAAAGATGAGATAAGATAATTTTAATCATGTTGCTCGAGATTGTATTGTAGAGATAAATAAATACTTTAGTTTGTTTCGTATGATGACCTCAAGATTGGATTAACTAGATATAATGAGTTGTGTATTTGTTGACTACGATAATTGTTAGGATGTTTAATACAATTACTAACTTACCCATTAATAATTTAAACTCTCTTAAGCGTGTGTCGCCATATCTGCTCAGGTTTGGCTTCGCTGCGACATGTAAAAACATGAGTTCAGCAAATATTTTGCAACACACGACAATCCTACTTCTTCTTATGTCTTTATTATTATTTTTTGTTTTGCTTGCAGATTTTGTTTTTATCCAATAAGCAGCACACAGTTTGATTTACAGTTTAAAACTTTTGGACTTAGAATTATGTTTCATTATTTTCGGTTTTGCTGCTTCATTTCTTATTTCACAGCTTTATTCAACACTTCTCTACTTNCCAGTATAATTCCAGTGATGTGACCTCCCAATAATAAAAATTCAATGCAACATAAGTACAAAATTTATTTAGCAAAAAAAATATTATTATATTTATTTACACAAAATTGGGTAAAAAAAAAATTAATCTCACCTCCTCATCATAGCAAATTTATAGAAATTTGGGCAAAACCTCGTATCGCAGCGCGGTTATACTTGTTTGCCTATTCACATCTTGTATAGTATGTCAATTTTCTATTCACGGTCTACAAATGGAATTGGATTAGTGATGTAGGAAAGCGTACGAGTGGGAAAGATAAACGAGATACTCTCTCAATAAAACTCACAATCACTTCATATTTCATTCAATAATCAACTAATGAAAATAAACTAGAGGGAGTCCTTTATATAAGGCTCCTAACCCTAGACCTAACTTGTCCAACAAGACAAGAACTCTTATTAAATATTAAACAATTCTTAACTTATTCTCCAAAATAACTAATAATAATAATAATAATAATAATCTAATTATTCTGCATCATTCTCCTCCGGTTCGGAAGGCTTCGCCCTCAAAGCCGCACCAAACGTGTCGACACCGGAGTCGTACCCATGGCAGTCATCACTCGGCGTTTCCCCCTGTCGAACACGAAGGTTGAATGTCGCACCTTCATGGTATCACCCCCTTGAAATTCATGGAAAGGCATATATGCAGCAGCCACACACAAAAATTTGAAGTCACCATGGGGACAAAAAAATAGCATCTGTTTGCAAGGCCGCAATAAATTTTCGTGGGAGAATAGCTCGGGCCTGCGCAACAGAAGAACTGCCGAATTTTCCAACAGCTGAAATTTGATACCCGGAACATGATGGAATTCCTCCGGCCCCAGAGGCTCATCATCGAAAATCGACGGGCCGCCATATAGATCGTCCTCTTCGCCGGTAAGACGCTCCTCCACCTCCTCGGGTCCTTCATCAAACATCGGCGGACCATCGTACAATGGCCCGTCAACTTGCTCTCCTTCAAATTCTGGGATGTCAATGCGAAACGGGCCCTCCCATCGACCATATTCGCGATCAAATTCCCAATCGTGTCTGACACGATATCCGCTGGCGAAGGCAGCCTCCTCACGCCTGCCTTTGTCGTTGCGTTGATCGTCGCGGTCCACGAAGACCCGTCCCGGTCGCCGCATGTCCATGGTCGTTGTATGCAGCGAAGGGGTCAGCCTCGACGTGCGGGGGTGGATAATCGCCAAAGAGATTTACCTCCGATACTGTCTCCTCGCCGTCTTCATCGCCGGATGGTGGTTGTGGAGATCCCTGGCGGGGCGCCCCGCCTGGACCACGGCCTCCATGTCCTCCGTGAATTCCCCCGCACACGCCTCGGTTGCCGGCATCACGGTACGTTTGCTTATCCCGAACCATGGTACAGATAGTTAGACGTATGTCTCCGATCTCCGCGGACAGATCTGTAATATGACGACCCATCGTCTCGAGCTCGCGGCCAAACCACTCGGTCCGACGGCTCAGGTTATAGATGGCGGCGACACGTCTGTCGTTTGCAGCATCATGTCTTCGCGACAGCATCGTGAATTGTGCTGACTTCTGATACCAACTGATGTAGGGAAGCGTACGAGTGGGAATGATAAACGAGTAAACGAGATACTCTCTCGTTAAAATTCACAAATCTCAACAATATTTTTATTTCATTCAAAAATCAACCAACGAAAATAAACTAGAGGGAGTCCTTTATATAAGGCTCGTAATCCTAGACCTAACTTGTCCAACAAGACAAGAACTCTTATTAAATATTAAACAATTCCTAACTTATTTTCTAAGATATCTAATAATAATAATAATAATAATAATATTCTATCCGCATCAGGATCCTTAAATGAGAATTAGTTGTATCCTTTGTTTGTTTTGTGTCCAATTTCAATGTAGGCACATAGCTGTGCGTATAAATACTCCAATATTATTGCACTCAATAAATACCACTCAATAGCAACAAAAGTACTACTTTTCCACTACATTGGCACACATCTCTCTCTACTCACAGCTAGCACAAAAGTATTTGCTTTCTCCCAATATTTC